ATGAAATCCATAAAGTGAAAATAAAATACAAATATACAAACATAATAAATACAATAACATGATAAATACTAGAAATACAATAATAAGTTGCAAGCCTCAAATTCAACAAAGGATATACTACAGTAATAATACTACAGTACATTCACACATCTCTCCTCAGTCTCATGAGCACAAGCTGACATAGAGGTGCGGCTTTTATAAGCCATGTTATGATTTTAACATCTTTAGTGTAAAACTGAAATTCAATGATAATTCTGGTTTATTACAAGTTGAGTCTGTTTTTTTGTAGTTTTGCGCACCGTTCTGATCGGTTAAAATAACACTGTACGTGCCGTGTAGTTGAGTAATGAGATCTGTGAATGTGGCACAATCATAGGAACATGAGCATTCAAACAGCTTAACTTCAATTACTTGGCAGAGAAGGCAAATGGTAGTGGCTGTTTGGTAAATACAGTGCTTTCCTTTCCAATAGATCTACTACAAAAATGTCTGACATTTATTTTATAGAAGACAAATAGCTAAATGAAAAACAGTGTGAGAGAGTTCTTGTTAGAAAACATGTCTTACAAACATGTCATATTGTTGTGCATGTATGTGTTGGTCTCAGCACACACTGTGATGCTGGCGCCGCACCCTGCTAACAACCACATGTCCGTGTCAGTGCCTCTGATGAGCTAATCTAGTGGTCAGCGTGGTGACGAGCGCCCCGGCTGAGAGATGGCCTTCTTCAAGAGCTTCCAGCAGACCCTCCCATCTGTCAACATTTCCTCCATCCTGGACTCGGTCACCAGCCGCGTGGACGACTTGGCCAACGCCGTCAGCGATGTCACTTACGCTGTCAGCGACCAGCTGACTGAGCAGGTCACCACTATCATCAACAAGGTGCAAGAGGAGGAAGATGGGGAAAACAACAGCAGCGGGCAGGGGTCTGGTCAGGCTGCCACAGCACAGGAAGGAAAGGCCAGCAGCATGTGGCAAATGTCCAGAGACTCTGAAACAGGTAACACGGTTTCCAAAAACAACCAAACCGGTGATTCAGCAGAGGCAGAGTGCACTCAGAGCCAGCTGGAGTGGGAATGGAGGGACGGGTGCTGGCGAGTTAAAAAGACAGAAGCTGAGTTAGCAGAGGAAGAGAAGAGGAAGAAAGAGGAGCAGGAACTTCAGGAAAAGAGAGAGCAGAGGAGAAAAGAAAGGAGGGAGAAGCAGCTGGAGAAAGAAGCCAAATCTCAGAGAAAGAAAGAGGAATCCCAAGAGGGAGAGCGAGAGGAGGAAGCTGATGAGAAGAGAGACGACAGCAGAGGACAAGCCAGAAAGGCGAGCGACAGTGGAGACCAATCAGCTGCGCAGCACAGAAGCGATGACTGTGATGAAGCTCCTCATTCACCTGGCCCCGACACTGAAAGCAGGATATCAAAACAGAAGAAGAAAAAAGAAGAGGGAGAAGAGGAGGAAGAGAAGGAGAACAGCGCGGAGAGAGAGGGAGACGACGAGGAAGAGGCTGAGCTTTCCAGAAAGTCTTCAACAGTGAAAAAGAAAAAGTCAGACAAGAAGAAGACAAAAGGCGCAAAAGAGGATTCAAAGAAATCAGAAAAAGCCTCAGATGTGGCCAAAAAGAAGGAGAAAGGCAAGAAGAGCAAGAAGAAAAAGAAAGGCAACCAAGGTTAGAGGGTGTGCCGACTCTCTCTCACCACTACTCTTTGTATTTCTTCTTCCTCTTCTCTTGTTTTGAAACTCTTCACATCGCTGAATTTCTGAAGCATCTGCATCTCAGCTCCTGTGCTCTTTGCCTCTTCGGGGCATCACACCGTACATGTCGTGTTTTGGCGAGATAAATGTAATGTTTGAACTAAAGCGTGCGTGTGTTGTGTGCAGAGGGAGTTTTATCAGACAGCGAGGAGGACAGAGGCCCTGAGGCCGTGGCCCAGCAGGACACAACCTCTGTGTGGAGCAGCAAACGCAAAGGGTCCACTGAGCAGGGAGGATACAGCAGTGAGGCCTCCAGTGAACAAGGTGGGAACATGCTCATGTACTTTTGAAAACATCGTTAGCTATAAATGCTTGTCACTTGAAACTCACCTTTTTCATATCTTGAAATGTATTATTATTACTGAGTAATTGTTTTTTTTTTTCTCATGCTGGAAGTTTCAGGTGAATTTGGTTTTATCTAAGCTTCTCAAATGACTGATTTCCCCTTATATTTCATGCTAAAGAAGTAGGTCAACATTATGGTTCACATGGTTTCTCAATTTCTCAAAAGAGCTACAGTAGATATATCAATCTCTGTGAATGCTGTACAAATATGCATGAAAATATGAAGCTGCCACCAGCAGACAGTTAGCTTAGCTTAGCACAAAGACTGGAA